CGATCCAATAAGAGGATATAACCCTGGTAAACATATGCACCCAATATAGGTGCACCTAACTATATAAAAAAAAACTTCTAGAGGACTTTAACAAAGAGATTGACAACAATACAGTCATAGTAGGGGACGTTAGCACCCCTCTAACATCATTGGACAGATCTCCCGGACAAAAATTTAACAAGGAAACAGAAACTCTAAAGGACACAATGGATCAGATGGATCTAATAAACATTTATAGAACATTTCACCCCAATGCAGCAGAATATACATTCTTCTCAAGTGCACATGAATCATTCATAAAGATAGACCACATGTTAGGGCACAAAACAAGTCTCTACAAGTTCAAGAAGACTGAAATCATATCAACCACTTTCTCAAATCACAGTGGAATGAAATTAGAAATCAACTACAGTAAAAAACCCAAAACATTCAAACACATGGAGGCTAAATGGCATATTATTAAACAATGAATGGGTTACCAATGAGATCAAGAAGAAATAAAAAACTTCCTGGAAACATGAAAATGAACACACAACAACCCAAAATCTATGGGACACAGCAAAAGTAGTCCGGAGAGGGAAGTTCATAGCACTACAGGCATACCTCAAAAAACAAGGAAAATCGGCAATAAACTATTTAACCCTACAATTTAACTAGAAAGAGAACAACAAGAAAAGCTCAGAGTAAGTAGAAGGAAGGAAATAATAAAGTTTAGAGCAGAAATAAATATCATATGGACTAAAAAAAAAATACAAAAAAATCAATGAAACCAGGAGTTGGTTCTTTGAAAGGATAAATAAAATTGATAAACCATTAGCCAGACTCATCAAGAAACAAAGAGGACCCAAATAAATAAAATCAGAAACGAAAGTGGAGAAGTAACCACAAACACTTCAGAAATACAAAGCATTGTAAGAATATACTATGAATAACTATATGCTAACAAGCTCGGCAATGTGGATGAAATAGAAAAATACAATCTCCTAAAACTGAATCAGGAAGAATCATAAAACCTGAATAGGCCGATAACAATCAATGAAATAGAAGCAGTAATAAAACAATTCCCACCAAACAAAAGCCCAGGTCCGGATGGCTTCACAGGGGAGATTTTCCAAACATTCAAAGAAGAACTAACACCTATACTCCTCAAACTATTTCAGAAAATCCAAGAGGAATGAACACTTCCAGACTCTTTTTATGAGGCCAGCATTGTCCTAATTCTAAAATCAGATAAAGACACTACAAAGAAAGAATTATAGGCCAATATCCCTGATGAACATAGATACTAAAATTCTCAACAAAAATATTAGCAAATCACATTCAGCAATATATTAAAAAGATCATACACCATGATCAAGTGGGATTTATTCCAGGGATGCAAGGCTGGTACAATATTCACAAATCAATAAATGTGATACATCACATAAACAAATTGAAAGACAAAAATCACATGATATTATCAATAGATGCAGAAAAAGCATTTGACAAAATCAAAACCTATTTTTGGTAAAAACTCTCAGCAAAGTTGGAATAGAGGGAGCATATCTCAACATGATAAAGGCCACATATGACAAACCCACAGCCAACATCATATTCAATGGGCAAAAACAAAAACCATTGCCCTTAAGAACAGGAACAAGACAGGGATGCCCACTTTCACCACTCCTGTTCGACATAGTACTGGAAGTGCTAGCCATAGTGATCAGATAAGAAGGAATACAAGGCATCCAAATTGGAAAGGAGTAAGTAAAACTCTCATTATTTGCAGATGACATGATATTGTACATAGAAAACTCCAAAAATTTCATCAAAAAACTATTGGACTTAAATAAGTTTAGCAATGTAGCAGGAAATAAAATTAACACCCAGAAATCTATGGCTCTTTTATATACCAACAATGAACTCACAGAAGGAGAAACTAAAAACACAATCCCATTTACCACTGCAACAAACAAAAAAATA